GAGGGGTAACATAGCTATGTCTGACTCACTGTGTATGTTTGTACACCAGTGAGTGTACCATCACCAGTGTGTAAAGCACTGGGTAGGTGCCACTACCTGACTCGCTGCATGCGTTTGTACACCACCGAGTGTACCATCACTAACTTTGTGATGTAGGTGTTTTTGGAAGTCATTCTCATGAGGTGTTCTTCACTTAAAGTGTATATCCCTCAGTATTTATTTCCCACTGAAATTTTTGTGCCCCTAATGCTGTATCATTAATATTTTTTTAAATTACATGTATAAAAATGTTACATCTTCAAGATTACTACTGAAAGAGAATTATCTTTGATATTCTGTTCTTTTCATGATATTTGTGAATACATGATATGACTTATGTCAAATTTAATTTGAGTGTCTACAAGTGCATGAAACTCTTTGCTTTACATTTATATAATGTATATGAATCAACTATATGCATGCCATACTTATTACTTTTAATGGAACTAAGAAAGCCATTATGTTTAATAAATGAGAGAGACTTTTTATATGTTTGTATAATTTTTAAATTAATTGTGCTGAGGGATACACATTAAGTGATATTTGTTTTCTTGCGTGATATAAGCTCCAAAAAATAATTACTGTACTTGCTAATTTCATTTTTATATTAATGCCTCTATCATACCCATAATAACAGAGTTGTTCATTTGCTTGTAAATATTTTTACTTTGGAACCTTTCTGAAAAGGTTATGCAGTTTGTTTTGTTTTTATCTGATTTTTACTTTATTTATTAATGAGCTTTTTTGGAGATGGATGTTATTCAATGTTATTTTCATTGGTAAAAATTGTTATATTATACAGTAAAACTTGTTTTCCAAGGAATATATATCACAGATATAGTGAAGTCATCTTAAATGCTCAGTTATATATTAAATAAACGAATTCCATCTATATAGTGAATTGTCAATATATTAAAATAATTTCATAGATTTCTGGAAATGTACTGGGTTTTTATTTTACATACTAGCTGCTAGCAGAAATATAGATACAACTGTAATAATTTCTGCTCCAAATAATTTGCTTTATTTCTAATAACATATTTATTATATCAATATCTTATAAATACTAAAGCTTGTGTATATGATGTATAATCCAGACAATACTGAAAATATTCAATGCATCTATATAAGAGTACATATAAATGTTTGTATTTACTGATGTGACATTACTTTCAGGAATATAGACAATAATTTTTGCACCAAAGAATTTGCTTTTGTTCTTATAACATATAAATTACCATAATTATTGATGTCTTACAAATGAGAAAACTTGTTTATATGACATACATTCCTGGCAATACTGAGACAATGCTTAATGCATCTACAAAATAATGTGCAAATGCATGTATCCTGCATACAATGATGTACAGTGAACTATTATTGCTGCAATATGACAATTAAAGCTGAACAAAATTTGAATTGATTATGTAATGTTCATAGTCATTGAAATTATATGACAGTATCAATATCACATTTTATGACATACATATTTATATCCCTCACTAAGTCAATCTTATGGTTTTTGTATATCACATTCTTTAGCTATTATGAAAAATATGTATACTGTAAAAAGAAGGTTAATGCTTATAGCAATGTGATGTAGATTTGAAGTATATATCTGAAATATTTTGTGTAACAAAATTTAATTTAATTGGTAACCAATTTTTGAACAAACACTGCTGCAAGATATTGCACAGATATTTTAAAAAGACATATTGAATATGTTACATGATTTGATTTTATATTGTACTTAGTTAAATGCAAGCATTAAGTATTTTATAGTTGATATGCTTTTAATTTTCATGATTCTTAAAATCAATACTGAATTTTCAATCAGGACAGATTGTGTTTTGATTTGTCAAAAAATCATTTTATGGATTGCATTTTACACTTCTTTGCACCACATTACCATATATTATGATAAGTGTATATAGTTAAAAAAAGAGAGTTTAATAACATATTTATAGACATGCATGTTATGAAAAGAAGGATATCGCATAAATATATATGCAGAGGTAAACCATTTTAAAACAAGTCAAAGTCATATAACAACTATCTGTAGCATACAGAGAAAGACTTATGAAAATTATGAGTATATAGAAGGATGACAACTAAACTCAAGAATTGACTGCACAATATAAGTGCCCAAAGGTTATGTTTCGTTGTTTCGTATATATGAAGGTCAAACCATTTTTAGCTCATTGTAAACAACATTCAACTGGAGCATGCAAAGGTGGGAAATATGTTCTAACAACTTTTTTAAAAGATTAAATCAATTTTTTTGTCTTTTTACATTCATTCGTGGATACCTGAGACCATGGTAACTATGGAAACTTATTCAACACTTTTCTGCGCACGCGTACAATGGGAAGAAGGAGGTATTTTCACTGGCCAGAAATTATTTTTACTTTTATTTTTCCCCATAAAAATATAATTTTTAGGTTCTGAAACCTGGGAGGTAAACCATCCCATTTGTCTTTTCCCCTTTATGCGTCATGTTCCAATAAGAGTCAAGTATTATTCATCAAGTATATACTATGATTATGAAATAAATATTGAGAGGTGAGTATAATGGGAAGAGGGAGGTCACTGGCCAGCCTGTAAAGGGAGGTAAACCATCCCTCTTCATAATGTTCCATACACTACTTATCAAGTATATACTAATTGAATGTAAAACATGATTGACGTATAATATATTTTAAGCACAAAATACTTAAATATATAGAATTTGAACATGGATTTGTATGTCAAAGAAGAGTGAATATATATAATAGCATATACTTCAAATTATGATCTGTCCTGCTTCGTGTAATTTACAGGATTTAAACACACTTTTCATATTGTAGTAGAATACAATCAATAGAATCAGATGTTACTTATTACCTGTGTATATATTATTAACAGTTGAAGATTTTAATGTATTCATACTTCCAAGCTGTTTTGTCACTAAATATTATACAAGTTTTGTTCATGACTATCAGTATCAAAGCTAATGTCTAACAGTGTATTCTTTATATGCTTATAATTATTACAAAACTGATTCTTTTTATTACCATTTCTAGTACCTAAGTTCAGAATATATAAATTAAATAAACAACATTCATTTTGTCTTATGTCTTCTCTCATTGCAAGCTTGTATTTACAAAGTGTCCAAAGGAGAAAAAATGCTATAAATTATGAATTGAGTTAAATGGTTCAATTGTTCATGGAGCATTTGGCAAACCTCGGCTGATTCTGTTATCTTCATCAAGTGAGATTAGATGAGCTACAAATTGGCTGAGATGTACCAAATGGTTTCATGGGGGTTATCATAATGACTGTAGAATCTTTCCATCTTGTATCAGACAGACAACTCAATCATTAATGTCTACTACAAGGTACCTGTATTGGCATATGATCCACTGATTTGCATAGAAAACTGATAATTAAATTTTAATCTCAAAATCTCAGACATATAAATACCTCCCACCTCATTTCTGCCTGTTCAATCAAACCAGTAGAAATTTTCAATGCCTATATTATCCTATATATATATTTGCAAAATAGGGGGGGGGGGTAAGTCCCCCCGGTTCCGACGCCTATGTATCTAGTACTAGTAGGCCTATCTTTACCTATCTTGGCCAGAAAAAAGTGGGGGTATTGAGCAAAGTTCTTACCCCTAAAAACATTACTAAGTACCTTGACATTGACAATCATAATTTTTTTTATTTATTTATTAAACCCGTTTTGGAGAGCATCAAGGTAGTAAAGTATTAAAGTTGTGGTTGCCGCTTTCACTTTTAGGGTATGCTACATGGTTATTTGAAAAAAAGGTTAATGAACAGCTGATAAACATGCAGTTGAAATGCAAAAGATTCAAATGTTTTGCCCATGAGTCTGTAACAGTATGTATACTAATGGCTAAGGAATTTGGGTGTTAGTAAAACTGTAAAGTAAAAGTTACATCTTCTTACTCAACAAATCAGTATACAGTAGGAAAAATATATTTGTTCGGTTAATTTTATTCATGTTCTGCCTAAAATTTATGCGAAAAAGAAAGTAATAATACTATTTTCTCACTCGCCCGCTACTACTTTTTTCAGAACAATAAAATTAATTGGTAAAGTCTTAAGGAACAATGTCAGCTAAATGAAAGGGCTATTAAATAAAATTTATACAGTTATCAGGATTGGGTAATGAATCATACATCCGATATAGATGGTATTAAATACCCCAGAAAAGAAATACTCTATTTATTAATTTTACTCTTAACAGGTAGTGGTGGCTATGATTGCGCAACTCTGCAGCAGGAGGACGAAAGCCTTGACCTAGAAGGAGAAGACGGGCGATCCATTGAGTTGGCATCCGACTCAGCTGTCCTTTGGACCAGACCTGCCACACTCCTACTCATTAATCAATATAGAGAAAACGAAGAATTGATAACTAGTGGGAAATTGAGAAAAAAGGCTCTCTGGAACAAAATTGCTGCAACTCTTAAAGAAAAGGAAAATGTAATTTCAGTCCAGGTCAAGTAGAAGGGAGATGGAAAACTTTAATGCGAGGATTGAAAAACGTGAAAGACCACAACAAAAAAAGTGAATCCGAAAGAAAAAGTCATCCTTATGAAGATGAATTAGATTTTATGTCGGCAAAGCCCAACATTCAACCTGAGTGTGTAATTGGCACTAAATCCAACACTGAGACAAAGTCAAACACAGAAACCAAGTCGAACACGGAAGCCAAGTCGAACACGGAAACCAGCACGGAGGAAAGCAACACAGGTAGGCCTGACACTCCTTCAACTTCTACTAAGAGAAAATGTGTGTCTCCTGAAAAGTTAAATGAGAGTTCTAAAAGACGTCGGTCAAATGAAGTTGTAGAAAGTTTGGAACAAATTATGAAGAATGAGAATCAGCGTTTTGAAGAACAAGTGGAAAGGAGACACCGCAAAAAAATGGAAATGTTTGGAAATTTTTTGGAAATTCTAACGCCCGCTCAATTGTCACTCTTGTGCCGGAATGACGATAGTTGTAATTTCTCTGTTGGGGTGTCAAATGGCCTGTGTCACGATAAGGAGTAAGCAACCAGCTTCTCAAAGGATAGGCTCCATCTCCAAGAAAATGTCCATTGCCACAAACTGCCAAACCATTTTCCCATATATCTGTATTCTTAAAAACCTTGGCATCATGGCAGCTTCCAGGCCAACCTGCTATGCAGTGAATGAATCTAAGGTCCTCTCTGCAAATTCCTTGCAAGATAATTGAGTAAAACCCCTTTCTGTTGACATAAGTTTCTGGATGGTTTTTAGGTGCTTTTATTGCAATATGAGTTCCATCTAAAGCACACAATACACCAGGAAAATTTTGTTTTTGTTCAAATTTGTCCATTATTTCCTGGCGTTCATTAGCAGAAGGTAGTAAAATAAAAACTTGTTTTAGATGATTAACAGAAATGTCAGTGATCCTTGTTCGACATCTAATAACAGAGGACTCTGTAACATTAAATCTGTCTGATATGCTGTGAATGCTATCTTGGGTTGCCAAATACCAAAGGCTAATTAACAAGTGTTTATCTGTTGAAATAAATTCTCTTCCACCCGTCCACCCAGGTTGTAACTGTTGAAAGTGGGCAATATTTCTACATAAACATTCAATTGTTGCTCTGGAAACCCGAAAGAAACGTCGGAAGTCATCTAAGTTGTGGAAGGGTACCGTTTCCTCCACATACAATTCTATTCTTGTCTTATTATTCCTTGCCCTGTAATACATTTAAATAACAATTATATTAGCTCATTATTAATTAAAGAGTTTACACATGTACATAATATTAAGCAAAAAATGACCCTTATAAACCTCTCTTTATTTTCAAAATATATCATCTGTCTGGTTTTAATCATTCTTGTCCTATTTAATTACAATACAAAATGTACAAGCAAAAACATAAGATAATTCTCGAGTTTGAAATCGTTTTCCTCTACTGAGACCCCCCCCCCCTTTGCGCGCCCATAAGCAACACTCATTACTGCTTGTTATATTCTAGATTTAGATATTATTTAAAATCACGTTTGATAAATAAAAAAAAAGTTGTACTGGTAAAAACTGAGGCAAAATTTGAGAAAATGTCTATTAATAAATAATAGGACCTGTGAACACTGGTTTACTCACGTTGACAACAAAGTAGCGGCAAATAGTTGCATAAATCTTTGAAAATGTTGACGTGATTCCCCCTCGTTTTCAAGCAATTCATCCAGAAAAGTTGCATTAACGCCTGAAATAACAAGTTGTCCGCCATAGTCTGTGTTCTTTCTGCACCATTCGCTTTGCACGAGAATTTGTCTGGGACTTGTCTACAACAGGTCAATGGGACCAGTATGTGCATCTGTCACAATAAATTTAACCTTGATCATAACTTTTGAATAATATGAGATAGGGCTTTCATATTTCACATGTACATTACCACAAAACTTTCTAAATGTACTATGATTTTTTAACCCAAGTGAGACCTTGAACTTAAAATTTTACCTACTTTCCAAAAAATAACATTTTAAATTAATCATTTTGAAAGAGAAAAGATATGCCATTTAAATTATACATGTATATTACATGTTAAAAGACTTTTCTAAATATATCATGACTTTTGACTCTGTGACTTTTCAAAAATATTATATTATAATTTTATATATCATAGACCTAGAAGTTTAACCTACTTTTCAAAAATATTATATTATAATTTTATAAAAATATTATATTATAATTTTATATAATATATAAACTTTTGATTGAAAAGAGATGGGACTTTCATATTTGACATGTACTTTACCTGCAACAAAATATTTCGAGCATGCGATGATTTCCCCACTTTGACCTAATTTTCATAAAGTGACATATGATAGGGGTGCATATTTGATACACAATCTGCCATAAATTATGGCATCCCATTCACTTCAACACAGAAAGCAGAGGACCACAATTCTTTGAATTTGCATGTATAATCTTGATATGGAAACATTCTCATATAATGTAGATTCAAGTTTTTTATGCTACGCCATGATTAGGAAAACATGTATTAGTTTTTTTTGTCATGTCCGTCCTCCGCCCTTCCATCTGTCTTTCCATCGAGCTCAAAGAAATTACTTTCTAGATATTATTATCAAAGTTCATATGTTGATGCATATACTGATGTAAACTATCCAACCGCGGCAATATTTTTTTACCTTTACTTTCCTTTGACCTTAACTTTTCTTAAAATTAGTGTTTAGCTTTATTTTAAAGAAACCATGATTTAAGTTGTGTAATGAAACTTCACATGATGATACGTACTGATGTAAGCTTTACAATGCTTCACTCTTTTTTACCTTGACATTTCCTGTGATCTTGACCTCACTTTTCTAAAATTAATGTCTTAAGTAGACTAGATCAGGCCCCGGGATTATGAAGCATCTTAAGCTTATGTCAAAAAATAACTTAGATGCTAAACTTTTTTATAGGTTAAGCAGTCCAAAATGAAAATGCCTTCCGATTTTGTATTATCAGTCTGCTGTTGTATGCAAATTATGAATTTCCTTTAACAAGTTTCAAAGACTTTATAGATAATTGAAATTTTGACTTAAGTCTAAGTCTGTTTCATGATCCCGGGGCTAGTTTTGAATAAACAGTTCAAGATATATTTATCAAACTTCATATGCTAATACATATTGATGAGAGCTATTATTGCATTAACTTATTTTGACCTTGACCTCACTTATTAAAATATGTGTTTTTTCTAAGTTTTAAATAAACCATTAATTATATTTTTATCAAACTTCATATGCTAATAGTAAATTCACACTGATGTAAGCTTTTCAGCTAGAACAACATTTTGACCTTAACCTTTCCTTTGACCTCTCTTTTCTTAAAACAAAGTGTTAAGTTCAGTTTCACTCAAGACATTTTTATCAAACATAAATATATATGCTGATATGTATTAGTGAGAGCTATTCAGCTGCATCAAAAACTTCATCTTGCACATCCCTGTGACCTTGACCTCCCTCCTCTTTAATTTGTTTTTTTTGCTTAGTTTTTAAGAAATAATTCAAGACATTTTTATGTTTAACATGCACTTAGAGTGCAGGGAATTAATTTTGTTACATAAACCAGCATCAGGATCAGTATAAGTAGGATCAGGATAGAACTAGCATCAGGATTTTAAAAAAAACAGCATTACTTGGATCAGCATCAGCAAGCAAAGGATAGAACTAGCATTGACCAAAGTGAAAACATATAAAGGAAAGTCATTTAATACAAATTACAAATAAAAATTACCCCCAAAATTAATTTTAATGGCTTAAAATACCGATGCTGTTTTTTAGCTCTACTGGTCAGAGACCAGAAGAGCTTATGCGATAGTAATGCGTCCGGCGTCCGTCCGTCTGTCTGTCTGTCTGTCCGTCTGTCTGTAAACAATTTTTCAAAACGCTACTCCTCCTACAGTTTTGGTCTGATTTCAATATAACTTGGCACACAAGTAGACTACACTAAGATACATAGAATAGTGCATCGGTTTTTAATTTCGATGAACGGTGTTGCCATGGTTACTAAAAATAGAATTTTCTATGAAATTCCTTTAAAATGCTAATCCTTCTACAATTTTGGTCTGATTTCAATATAACTTGGCACACAAGTAGACTACACTAATATACATAGAATAGTGCATCGGTTTTTGATTTCAATGAACGGTGTTGCCATGGTTACTAAAAATAGAATTTTCTATGAAATTCCTTTAAAATGCTAATCCTTCTACAGTTTTGGTCTGATTTCAATATAACTTGGCACACAAGTAGACTACACTAAGATACATAGAATAGTGCATCGGTTTTTAATTTCGATGAACGGTGTTGCCATGGTTACTAAAAATAGAATTTTCTGTGAAATTCCTTTGAAACTCTACTCCTTCTACAGTTTTGGTCTGATTTCATTATAACTTGGCACACAAGTAGACTACACTAAGTTACAAAGAATAGTGCATGGGTTTTTGATTTCAATGAACGGTGTTGCCATGGTTACTAAAAATAGAATTTTCTGCAAAATTCTTTTAAAACGCTACTCCTTCTACAGTTTTGGTCGGATTTCAGTATAACTTGGCACACAAGTAGACTACACTAAGATACATAGAATAGTGCATGGGTTTTTGATTTAATGAACGGTGTTGCCATAGTTACTAAAAATAGAATAATCTGTGAAATTCCTTTAAAACGCTACTCCTGCTACAGTTTTAGTGTGATTTCGAAATAAGTTGGCACACAAGTAGACTACACAAAGATACATTAAATAGTGAAATGGTTTTTGATAAGTGCAAACCAGTAGAGCTACAGTCTCGACAGAGACTTCTGGTTAATTATCCACTTCTGGCAGGATAATCCTACTTTCGGTAGCATTACTAGCATAGACCTAGTTTCAAACCAGCATCGGGATAAGGATCAAACCAGGATCCGGATAACTAGCATCAAAATCAGCAAGCAAAGGAAGCATCAAAATCAGCAAGCATAGGAAGCACCAAAATCAGCATTCTGTAACAAAATTATTTCCCTGCATTGTATACATTATTTGATGAGAATTTATTATCTATAATGAATCTATATCCAATTTATTTATATTTTAGTTTCAATTCTGAAAAAAAAAACTGTTTAAGATATTTTCATAAAACTTTATACACTAATACAAATACAAATAGCTCACCTGAACCGAAGGCTCAAGTGAGCTTTTCTGATCACATTTTGTCCGGCGTCCGTCTGTCTGTCTGTAAACTTTTCACATTTTCGACTTCTTCTCTAGAATCACTGGGCCAATTTCAACCAAACTTGCCACAAAGCATCCTTGGGTGAAGAGGATTCAAGTTTGTTCAAATGAAGGGCCACGCCCTAATTCAAGGGGAGATAATTGGGAATTAATGAAAATTCGGTGGCATGTTTTAAAAATCTTCTTCTCAAAAACCACTGTGCCAGGAAAGATGAAACTTTTGGGTTAACATCCTCAGGTAGTGTAGATTCAAATTTGTTCAAATCATGACCCCCGGGGGTAGGGCTGGGCCAAAATGGCCGACCAAAGTTTTACATAGAAATATATAGGACAAATCTTTAAAAATCTTCTCAAGAATGACACAGCCATAATTCATCAAATTTGTATGGAAGCATCCTCAGCTAGTGAAGATTCAAATTTGTTCAAATCATGACCCCCGGGGATAGGGCGGGGGCCAAAATGGCCGACCAAAGTTTTACATAGAAATTTATGGGAAAATTCTTTAAAAATCTTCTTCTCAAGAATGACAAAGCCATAATTCATCAAATTTATATGGAAGTATCCTCAGGTAGTGAAGATTCAAGTTTGTTCAAATCATGACCCCCGGGGGTAGGGCGGGCTAAAATGGCCGACCAAAGTTTTACATAGAAATTAATGGGAAAATTCTTTAAAAATCTTCTTCTCAAGAATGACAAAGCCATAATTCATCAAATTTATATGGAAGTATCCTCAGGTAGTGACGATTCAAGTTTGTTCAAATCATGACCCCCGGGGGTAGGGCGGGCCAAAATGGCCGACCAAAGTTTTACATAGAAATATATGGGAAAATTCTTTGAAGAAAAGCAAATCCATGATTGATCATGGGATTACTTTTGGATTTTAACTTTTCAATAATAAACCAATTTCTACTTTTTTTTAGCTACAGTACTCAGGTGAGCGATGTGGCCCATGGGCCTCTTGTTTAATGTACCATTAGTAATACACATCTGGCGGGA